GAACTTTCCCCGATCAATTAGCAAGTGGAAAAAACACTCTCCTGAAATTGCTTAAATTACTGAATCAGGCTTTGCGATGCAGTTGTATTTATTCCTTAATCATAATTAATTAATTGTTTGAGTTCATAAAAGAAGATGAATAAATAAAGAAATGTTCCCAATCTCTAAGATGTCATTTTCTCTCTTGGGCAGCCTTGTTGATGTAAGATCACAGGCACCAAAACTGTCCTATCAGTTAGCTGTCAGGTTCATGTACTTCATGTGGTTTGTAAAAATGGGGGAACTTGCATGACACATCAAAGTGTTTTTCTTTGGTAGAACTTTTGGATGTCTGACAAAAGATGCATAAAGATGCTTTTCTGGCTCTAGAGAAAGTTGGTCTACTTTGAAAACCACAAATTTAAGATTATAGAGTCAGAAGGAAGAAGAATTTCTTCTCATACCTTGAGATTTTCATCTGGACTTTACTGACTTAAATCTGTGACTAAACTGTTGGCTTTCAAGCTGCATTGTGGGTAATGAGAGGAAAACATGGCGTGTGCCAGAGTGAAAAGGTGCCAGTGTATCATTATTTCCTTCATTCAGACTAATGTTAGGTCACCTTTATTTATGTAGTACATTTCAAACAAGAGCTGTTGACTCATAGCTCCACATGAACAGACTTCTGCTCCTTAGAAAAGATCCTTGAAGTTTCAGCACTTTTCTACATATTTCAATTTATGGTCTTTTGAGAGCCAGAGTCAAAGAAAGTTTAAATTCCTCCACTAAACATAGCAGACTTTTTCATCAAGCACTGTGGTTTGCAAATGCAGTTGCTCCATAAGTGCTATTGGAGGACAAATGCCTACCAAATCAGCACCATGGGTGGGTTTACCACTGTCAAGGGGTACTTTACATAGCTAGCAGCCTGCCCCATGGACAACAACTTAAAATACCTTTGGATTCGGGTAGATATGGTGGTCTCCATAATAAGTTCCCTCTCGCTTGTAGTTAGTTAGAGTGGACCTAATGGCAGAAAAAAGATAGAAATGCAGCTTAATCATTGGGCAATTCTGTCTGAAGTCGGGCTCAAAATCTTATGCAGCTGTTGGGTTGTTGCTGACTGTGATCGCAGCATATGATTTACATTATTTTCGAACACATCAAGCCACTGAGCGACCCCTGCGCCTTTTCATGGAAGCATCTGCGTGCACTATGTATCCCCACTTATTTATTCAGGCTTTTCCTTTAATTTGTCACTCATCTGCATCTACAAATGACTACAGAGAGCATCAACAATGTGTTATCAGTTCGTTCCTACTGTTTATTCACCTCATCTGCCTCTGTTGCCATGTTACACCTGCAAGGAAATCAGCACTACCAGAGAGAACAGATGTAGGTGTGCAGATTTAGATCTCACTTTGTAGAGCCGCGGGCTTTTGCGGTTGTTTCTCTGACAGCTTCTTAATTACATTGTGGGGTAGAACACATTAGTTCCTAAAAGATTACGTATTTTAAAGCTTTTCTGTTTGGTCAACGGTATAATGTTGGAATGATGGGAGCAATTAATAAGATGCGATGTGGATCGTGGAGTGTGTGCGTGCCTGTGTGTAACTGGGAGGACAGATGGACTCTGGTTAGATGCTGTGGATCATTAAACACAGATGAAGGACAGACAGAAGGCTGACTTGCCTCCGGCCTGCTCTCCATCCTCCCATGTCGGTCTAGCTCACTTCTTTGTGTCTCTCTGAGTCAGACTTTCTTATCAGTGGCTGCTCCTCTAACATTAATACAATAATACTGTTATCGTAAGCTCATATATAACTTCATTACCCTGGTACCACGTTCCTTTCTATCCTCTCTATTTTCAACCTGTATCTGTCTGTTTGGTTCTCCTTTCTCAGTGGTTACAGTGGACAGGGGAAGGACCATTACAATCACAAAAGATGAACTGGAAGGTGAGAAGCTTTATTTTTATTTCAGTGCATAATTTTGTCAGAAAAACAAGCCACTTGAACATTTTCCCCATAGATTTAAAACAGCATCCATGTTTTACTGGCACGCATGGTGCCTCCTTTATGCCTGCAGGATCCCTCGGGGTTTGTGGCTTAATGCATCTTCATATTATATTTAACAATGAGCTGCAGTAATTGTATGACTGTAGCAATGAGCATTTGCTCCATTTACAGAACTGAAAAGAATGAACAATCCCTGGCGGTGTCCTGGTAAATGCACATAATGGCTCGAGCTAGTGTGAATGCCTGTGAAGAGGGCTGATAACCTTGGCAATGTAACCCACGGACAGATAAAAAGGAAAGCGGGAGGAGGAATTTGTGTTTTTGGAGCCATCTAAAACATGTAGCACAGGGAGTCCATTTATACTCTCTTTATTCTGTTCTCCAGGGGAGGTTTAGAGCAGAAGGAGTGTATACATGTATAACAAAGAAGTGCATGTGTGCAGCTTTTAACAGAAGTCAAATGAGATAGCACTGCAACATCCTGAACTTCTAAGATCAGTCTCCATCCAGACTGACTCTGTTGCAGTACACATAACTTCAGACACTCCCTTGTCCAGATTGTATGTTGTGTGTAGAATGAAGAATCAGAATATTTGAAAGGTTATATGCTGTAGAGCTGTGGGAGGGTTGGAGAGAAACTAAGCCGAATGAATGTGATGTATGTAGTTTGCTAATGCTGTCTCACTGACCTTTGTTCCTCTAAAATTAAACTTGGATCCCTTTTTTATTATTTATTATCTCTAAAAAATTGTGACGTTTGGAGGTCTGACCTTTGTTTGACTTTTGAAGGTGGAGTGCATGGCATGAAAAGAGCCACTAAATTATGGTCTCTAAGTTCAATGAAAGAGGAACCTTTCTCCCTTATTTTGGTTTTCTGAAAAGGGGAGGCTAGCCTCCAGATTAGAAAAGTGAGCTAAAAAAGTCACAACCAAAACAGGATGTGACTTTTGTAGTTAATAAAAAAGACATCTAACTCCTCCTTATTATTGAGTTTATGGTCTCAAGCTCTAGTTTCAAAGTCTTGTGTATTATGTAAGTTTACATTTAGAGTTGCATTTAAAGCTAAATATGTTGTAGATAAAGTATGCAATAACAAGCTTAAATAGTGTATTGGAAAACTGGAAACTGAGAGAAACAGCTGGCTAGTTTTTATTAATTTCAACAAAAGCAAAATATAAAAATGACAGTGTACTTTTATAAGTGGCTTCATTAGTACTTTGAATCGATCCCGTTGAACTGCCAAGCTAATCTTGGCTTGACCTTCATCTTGGGGAGCCTGATTTACAAAATCATCTCGATGTTGTATTCATTATGTTTGAGGCCATAAATTCATCAGCACTGGGCAAAGACTATAGGAGCCCATGGTTTTAATGACCTCAGATGATCACTGAAAAAAAATGAAGGTTAAAGTTGGCATTGGTTTCACTTAGCAGATACCATGTCAGGTTGTAAGTTTTATGAAATTCATTTCAGTTTTATTTAAATAGCGCAAAGTCACAATGGTTACCTCAGACAACTTTATATTACAGAGAACCCCCCCAAATGAGCATGCACTTGGCGACAGTGGGAAGAAAAAACTCCATTTTAACAGGAAGAAATCTTCGCCACAGTTCCCAGATATGTATTGTTGTTCGTTTCCTTTTGTGTACAGTATACACACCGTATGGGAGAAAACTTCAGTCTGCCATGTTGAATCATTACGTGTAAATAATAAAATGCTAAACACTTTTATGTTTGACATTTAAAGATGTGCTGCAGTCATCTTCTTTTGAACTGAGGTCAGGTGACTGACTTCACCAACCAGGTGCGTTCCACTTACTGTCCCTAAATGCTCATTTTAGCTGCACATTAAACATAATTTTCCTACTGCTTGGTTGTTTTTTTTTTTTAAAAAAGAGTGCATTAAAATGACTATATTGTTTGGCTTCAAACAGAGTTTGATTAAGCACTTTAAGAGCCACAAAATCAAATCATTTTCCCTTAAATTAGCATATTCAACAGTCAAACAATACAGTATTGAATAAACAGTTAACTGTTCAAAAGAAATGTAAATGCAAAAACAGTAAAGCTGCAAAGTACATAAACCATAGAGACCAAAAAATCACTGTGATTAACATCCCACTTATGGACAATATTTGATCATTTGATTACCAAGTATTATTGGCTTGTTGTGCAAGCCTGTGCTTTAAAACTCAGTCCTGGAGGCATTGTTATGCTCATTATGAAGCACATGTGTGGGGTCATTAGTGATGGCTTGGCTTTTACTGTGTACTTGTTTGTTTGTTTGTTTGTTTTTTATAGAGCTCTATCAGGGATCTTTGGGTTCTTATAATAAATTTAAAACTGGTGTTAATTGTTCTTTTAGCCTGTTCTTGTCTTTCTGGAGCAACAAACGAAAGAAATGCAAGCATGCATTAAATAGAGGAGGTGAAATGTGTTATAATTACTCTCTCGTTTACCCCGCTGAGAAAACCCGTACAACCGCCGATGAGCCTGCTTAATAATATCTGTGTTCTCAGTAAACTTTCATTTCTCTTCACATATACCACACAAATATGTGTATGTCTTCACAGTTTCACAGCATTCATTAAAAATAGTCCCCTCCCTGAAAATGGGTTTAAGGAGCTTATCATTGCTTTTGTCCGTCGTCAGCAGATTTTACTACATGGCTTTATGGTTTTTTCCGTAACCGCTGCAGCACTACATGAATTTTTTTTTTTTTAAAGCACAGTGTGTCCTGCTGCTCAGATACTCCTCTGTATACTAACAAAGGTTTGTTGCCTCTACCATCCCTCTCTCTTCACTACTCTTTCAGCTGTGGAGCTCTTCTCTGATCCAGCTCTACAAACTCTACAAGGAATACAAACGTGCAAACACAGATGGGACACTTCTGGCTAAACCTGAACACTTCTATTGTCCTTGAATCATTTGGAGTGTCACTGAAAGTATTTGACTACATGTTATCTGCTATACCTAGGTATTAGAAAATTAGGTGAAACTGGGGTAGCCAGGTGCTGTGCACACATTCAGCAGCAAAGCATTTTAAGAGAAAGAGAATCAAACGCAGCTTCTCAGCCAACACTTTTTTGGATTTTCATTCTCATTGACCTTGTTCTAACTTTTGCATTCGTCATCCTCCGCTTCCTACTCCTGTCTTTGCTCTCTAGGTCGAATCAAAGCTCCTTTTCCTCCCACAAATGTCCACGCCTGCGAGGTGAGCGACACCTACGTGGTGCTGAGCTGGACCGAGCCTGAACCCAGAGGCAGGGAGCCGCTCACCTTCTACGTGGAGCGGGTCAGTCACGGCACATAAATATTCATATTACAACAACTCAGAAGACTCTGATTGGCTGCAGGCCTCCCCCGAGGTTAAACTTCCTTCATCTTATGAGCTCATAAGTGAAGTTTTAGTGCATCTACTAAAAATCATTTTTAGATTAATCACATCGGAGCATAATTTAAACTTGGAGAAAAATCTCCAATCTTTGTAGCAGCCAGTAGAAAATCTCCTCACAGCGACTTGAAACTGGTCACTATAACATAT